TGCAGCATTGACACTCATAAGTGCCTTCACAGGTCTCCAAGCCATCATGGCGATCATCATAATCGGAAATATAGAGATGGTATTGCCAGACATATACATCATGAACATATTCATTGGTAAACTCTTGATTGGCTGAAGTGCCATTTCCCAGGCACGTTTGGTCATCAAATGTTGCGTTTGTTCGTTACGTCCTCCTTGATCTACCTGCAAACATTACTGGAAGATTAGATGAGAACTCAATCAGGAATACTGATGGTATAGAATCATTGTGGTTGAATTCAGTTGTTCATTTTGTCGTGATCCATGGGAATAGTCCAATAATCGTGCAATTTTGCTTTTATTCGGGATCATGACTGGTCAAGATTATTTGCCTTTTTTGGTTTATAAATTTATGTTTTGCACTGTCACTTGGCATCTTTCAGGATCCTTAATCTGCGATATTCCCGCATGGAACACGAACGAGTAAATCTTCACTGAGTAGTTTGATACTCTATTCAGATATGAAGGTGATTGTAAATTTAGAACGAGTTTGCAGATATCCTCAACTTGAAAATAAGTTAATGTTCAATAACATGACTGACCACCTCAACAACGGTAATCAATTACTTGGAAGTGTGGGTTCAATGATGAAATCAAAATGCATATCGAGAAAATATGATAAATAGTGCACCTGCTGTGCGATAGAAACGCTTTGAGAGAAACCCGGAGGATTGAGCGAATTGTCCAGCGCACGACTCGCGATTCGTGATCCACCAGCAATCGGATCCAATTTCCATTTATTTAGAGACATTTCGGCACTTTTCGATGAGAATCTCAAATAAAACTCACGACTGGAATGTTCTTTGATGCTCTGAAACTGCATAAATAAGACTGGAATTTACAGCAAACACTTTTAAAAAACGTCATCCAAATTTGATACTTCTACGTCAACTCCTAGTTCATCATTCAATGCATTTCAGGTTAAGAGAACCTAGAGAAGTGATATTTCCCTCGTTGAATTTTGCAAATTACACAGAAAAACCACCTTCAGACACCTGAAATGATCTTAAACTCATGAGAAATTAAAAATTAAATCAACGTTTGAGAGCGACTGAAACACTGCTAGATGTCGAATTGCCACAATAATTTCATTCGCTAAACCAAAACTTCAATTCTGCTTCGCAATCAGCATTTTTGCTTCACTTCCGTGATGCAATATAATTATTCAGCTAATTGCATGCATGACGTGTCTCTAGATAAAATTCCTTCTATAAAGTAATGACTTTTTGTACTTTTTGCCTTTCATTTCCGAGTAATGCTCTGCATGAGTTTATCAAGTAATGCTCTGCAGAAGTGAATCGATTCGCCTATCCCGCTAACTTTTGCAATGCTTGGTAATTTTCAATGGCGTTGCCTTCACCACAATGTACTTACAATGTACTTGTATTCATAGATTAGCTCAATTTCAGCAAATCAGCCCAGGCCAGTAATTTTCAGTCCAGCTCGGCTGCAGAGCTTGCCTCGGCTTGTTGGTCCGGGTCTGTCACTTCCATACTCCCCATTATATTCATAATGAGCAGTAGCGAATGGGGATTATGGAAGTCGTGGAATGTCGTTAGATATGTTCGTGAAACGTTATTAAAATTGAAAAAAGAAGAAAAAAATCTTCGTAGATTTCACTAAACACGTTGACGATTGATTACGAAAACGAGAAATTTTTTTCATAATTTTTTTGATAATAATTTCAGCAAACGTGAAACAAGCTATGCTTTTACGGTTGCTCTTGACATCGGTCATTAGCTTGACTCTTATTTTGGGTGGCGATGTACAGCAGAGTCAACGCAAAAAGAAGGCCGTCATTACATCACTTCATGCGAAGTGGTCACAAACACCGTTTTTGGCCGAAACGAGGTATTTTTTGAACACTTTTTTTTTAACTCGGGTACATCTTTAGTTTAGGGGCTACACCGAGCAAATAGACGTGAGCCGAAGCCCATACGTAGCCTCATCGCCGGGTGGGCATGCCTACTACGCTGAGAAATGTGTCTATTTGCGCGTGTGAAGCCCCTAAACTAAAGAACTGCCTTAACTCGTTCTCAATTTCACTTATGGTACTCCTCAAACCGTGAATATCTTCTTCAGATGATCTGAAATAATTCTGAAAAATTCAACGAAAAATAACCAATAGGAAAATAAATCTTTTCTGTTGCAGTGAGTTCATGGCCAAAGAGAGTAATGGGATGTTCTGGAAATATGTGGACACAATCATTGATGGAGTCAATGCAAACGAATGGAATTCATGTAGGCCTATTTGAATTTCGATTATTCAGTTTAATTAAGTTTTCAGTTTCTGAAGGCATTTTTTAAATGAAATGTTGAGCAGGCAGAAGTTTCCTTATTCTGTGGGCCCAAAGAAGTTTCCATATCCTAAAGATATGATATTAACAGTGATTACAACACTAACTAATTTTTGAAGTAGCTAAAGAAGAACACCGGTCATGAGGATAACTACTTTAAACACTGACCTATCAGTCGTTAAACTGGGCTGTACAGTGATTTGGAGTGAGAGATATGCAGACTATAAGGAGGCAGTATTAGATATTTAAACGAATGCATAGATCAGTTGGTGTGATCAACTCAGAGAATGTTGCCGCAATTACGCGTTCGTATACGTAGAACAGTGCATCGAATTAGATCTAATAATAAGTAGAGCAATATGGTGCAATTGATCACAGATCGTCTTGTATTACAGTATATTACTATATTAACAAAACAATGTATTTACAGTANATTACTGTATTAACAGTATTACAGTGTATTGGATTTGCAGTACTGATACAGTACTGTATTACAGTATTACAGTCGCTTATTGTTGCTTGCTTAATGCAGTAATATACTGTATTAACAGTATTACAGTATGTTACCGTATTAGCAACACAATATGCTTGATCATTGCTGGCATTTTGAGCAAACAGAAAATACACTGACCAATAAGCAACAATTAATGAACAATGCCTTACATGCCAAGAATATTTGAATTTCTCATTTATCATGGTTCATCATAGAATCCTGCGAAATAGCATAATTGTTCAGAGGAAGAACCTCAAAAGAATTCCTGTCCGTAACTGATTGTGAATGAAAACTAATTTGTGAAATAAAAATATAAGCCTATAGCACATTCATAATACGATATATTCCAATCAAATTCAAGTAATTCAATGTGACACAATTGTGCAACATAATTAATGAAATTCAAGCAGGAGCAGTTCTATCCTCATTTAGTTTTAGTTTATTCAGAATTTAAGAACATTTCGTCGTGGAAGAAATACACAATGTGAATTAATATGTAAAATTCAGTGAGTGATGCGAAACAACATGATGTGGCAGTGCAGTTGGCCAGTAAATTATTGGGTGAATCACGTAGCAGACTGCTGAAATTTGCACTCTCTCTTCGGGTTCACTCACCGAGTGTTCAGCTCTTCCAACAGGTCAGATTTTCAATTCGGGATTATTTGTAGTATGCTTAATTCAAGCGTGCGAATTAATTTTGTGGCAAGTAACAGTGTTCTATTATCTGAGGTCACATTTGCTTGATATAGAACTCAAGAAAGAAACCGAGTTTCTTTTTTAGTTTATATAAGATATATTTTCATAAAAACTTACATAAGATGTATTTATTACATAAGATATATTTACATAAGTTTACATAAAATTAAAAACAAAACTGGTTTCCGATCAGGTGCAAGTTTTTTAGTGACATCGCAGGGCTGAAAATCATAATGTTTGGGTTTTGTGATGAATTATTTACTGTTATCGTGATCGGATTTCAAATGTTATGAACAGTTGAAATTAAATTCAGTTGGGAGGTGAGAATAAAGTGAATTGTGATGCATATGCGGTCGTGCATGGTGAGATCGTTTGTGATGCCGAAAACTTGGAGCATTTCATAATGAATGCTGATGAGAGGTATTTTGCATATGAATCTTGAATTGATATTAAATTTTACAATCGATTAGATTTCGTTGATGTAATGAATTTGCCCATTCGGCTATCGCAAATAGTTATCATGAGGACAAGTACGGTCTAGGAAACGGTTTTTGTTGTTGGAACCTGAGGTTGTTACTTGTTGAGTTTTGCGGGAAGTCAGCTGATTGAACACAGAATTTTGATTCTTCGAACCCGGATCAGTGAACGAAATAAGTTTGACTGGCTTTTGAATTTCTCGTACTATACAACAATATTGGATTTTAATTAGGCTTGAGTGCAGCCACTTCATTCCGGTTCGAATTCTTAAATG